CACAGATGCATAATCTGAGCTGTTAAGCTGGTTTTCATTTTACAATACACTATTATCTCAGCAGTCAGAACTCAATAACAGATGCTTTTTTATAATGAGAGTAAGATATATCATCTGATGTAATAGATACTTACTGAATAAACTGAGAGTACTGACTCTTGAATCTGAAGATATTAGTTAATTAAGATGAAACAACTCATGACACTATATATACTTCTCTGATTAGAATACTTTCTCTCTGAACTGTCACTGAAACACTCTCTCTTTAAACTATCACTGATATCTCAACTTCTTCTGAATCTACACTGAATGAATTATGATATATAACAGCTCAAAGTGATGAACTTCTTCAAACACTCACTGAAGTAGTATGTCAAGAAGCATCTCAATTCCTGTCAGAACTATGTATAAGAACTGATATCTCAGAATACTTAATTAATGATAATAACACTCTGTGATTCTGTGAATAACACTGAGTCTCTCACTCTGAACTCTTACACACTTGAATAATACAAGAGATGCATGATTTATATATAACTGATTATTCAAGTTATAAACAACTGTACTGAATAATCTCTTAAGTATTCTACTAATCTGAGATATTGAACACCATCAGATGCTTTGTCTGAAACTGTAATCATTATTTCTCTATCATTTCATGAAAGAATTGTAGAAAAGATCTACTGAAACTACTTAATATCTCTAATAGAATCTGATGAGATGTGATAATTAACTTCACTATCAATCTTTCCAAGAGTAATAGTTATAAGAACATTCTGATTATCATTGACTAATTGACTAAAGATGTAGTATTAAAATCTTGTGATAGAATAAATACTGAACAAGTCACTGAAGTCTTTCTACAGAGCTCATTCTATTGAATGAATAAATTGCTGAAATCTATAGTATTGAATTAAGATCATCAAGTTATAAGCATCTTCTGAACAAGAATCTGTCAAGTTCTCAAGATTATATGTTATTTATCAACTGTCTACTACTCTGAGATTGATGATGTATCAGAGTGAATAATTCAGACAGTGAAGAATTATCTTTATAAGTTCTGTAATTATTTATAAAATAACTAACATAATCTTCTTTTACATACTGAAGTCACTATCAATGACTGAGATACTGCTTCAACAGATGTAAGCCTGTTCTTTCTTACATACAGATATTATATAAAAGTGTTGAATCTTCTAGAGATTATACATTTCATATCAAATCTCTAAAGTTCAATTCAGATTACTGATAATATAGTAATAAAGCTCTGAGATACTTATAACTAAGCAGAAGTCTTCATAGCAACTGTAAAATAAGATTAAGAGAATTAAATCAATGTTCACTGAGATCTCACTGAGTAATATAAGATAGAAGACCTGATGTGATTGAATCTTAAGAATATACAGATTACACATTCATCTTGTATACTGAATTATCACTATGTTATGTATAAAGTGATAGAAGTTCTAGACAGTTATAACTATTATCTTGACACATTATCAGTAGACTGACCGTGTGACCGTGTCTGGGACCAGGATCAAACTTTACAGTTGTCACGTTGCCTAAAAGCATTACTTCTGGTCATGGTTTGTGTTCATCACATTGATCTCAAATCATGTTATTTCAAATATTAAAGATTCCAGATTCACTTTTCAAATAAAAATCTAGTCTCAGATAAAGAATATGTTTGAATTCTTAGTCACATTTTCATTCTGATCTCATTATTGAAAATGACATCAAATGAGATCATGAAATCATTTCTCACTTACATAATATCATAACATAGTGCTCATTTGTTGAAAATTCAACAGAGAGTGTTATCAAATATTATTACTTTTCTGAACACAGATCATAATTAATATCATTTTAATTAAAAAAAAAATATAAAATACAAAAAATAACAAAAAAACAAAAAAGAAAATAATAAGAAAAAATCACAATAAAAAAAAAAAAAAAAAGAGAAAGAAAAAAAGAAGAGAAAGAAAAAGGGATTTTTTTGGGGGGGGAAAAAAAAAAAAGAAAAGAAAAAGAAAAAAACAAAAAATAAAAACAAAAAAAAATCAAGATTGCAGAGCTGCAGCACTCTCAAAATACTCACTTCTCAGAGTCTTCACAATATTCATTACTAATCATGTATTTCTCACAGTGAGAGTAACACAGCTGTGATGAGTCATTGTCTTAACATTATCTAACAAATAATCAGTATATATCTATATAAATGTAAATAATTAGAAAATATACACTTAAAAAGTATGATCTGAATGAACTCTGCTGTTACTTGAATAACATTAAGAGCAGAACACTGAAATTGATGATTCTTCTTATCAATTTCACAGACAAGGTATGTGAAGATGATCTTAAGAAATATAAGATTCTCTGACTTCTGGTAAAAACAGATCTCATGAAGAGACTCTATTTTCATCATATCAGAGACTGAGTGTTATTAAAAAGTGTTACTTCAATGCACATGCACTTACTGCAGCAATTCACTCTCTGTGCATGTGACTGAGAGTTACAGCTTTCTTATGCTGCATGACTCTCTCTGAGATGCTGCTGCTGATTTACAACTCACACAGTCTCTCAGTTCAGCACACACTGCGCATATGCAGCCCTGCATGCTGAGGCCGTGTTGGTCATTATGACCTGGCATGGTACTCGCTTTTCACAGGCCATGTTTCATTTGATTGAGGGGGAGGGAGAATGTGACTGCTGTTTTATTTAAGAGAGAATGAGTAATTGAATCTGTAGAAGATAATTTGATTTCTTCTGCATTTGAAATTTGATTAGTCTATACTCTTCAATTTGAGGATTTCTGAGAGTGTTTTAATAGTTTTCATACCAGCTTGAAATTAGTGATTGATTGAAGAAGAGAAAAGAGAGAAGAATGAAATGAGAATAACTTATCTTTATAATATGAAAACAGAGAATTGCTGCAATCATTTGCTCTAGTAACAAAGATCTGTTTTCTGCATGTATCTCTGATATAGATTATATGATAACTGTATACAAAGAATATCAACAGTACATGTATTGAATGAAGATGATATTGCTATGCAACACTGTAGCTGTTTCTGTACATTGCTGAAAGCTGTTAATATTTTCTTTGAGTCTCTTTATATTTGATAAGTCAGTAATATATTTCAATGCACTTCTTCTTTTATTATCATTATTATCATCATCATCACTATCATTATCATTATCATCATCATCATTATTATCATTATCATTATATCATTTCTGATTGCCTCTTCTGCCTTCACCTTTCTTCAACACTTACTGAAACTAATTATGTCATTCCTCTTCAAATATTCTGCGGTCCTGTGGACTATCAAGGCATATGAGCACTGTCACAGATTGAAGAGAGAGAAGAAGAAGATATTCAAGTAAGAGAAGACAGATTATAAGACACATTATAATGCCTTGAAGAGACTTCATAAGAGAGTAGAATAATAACAATTTTAAGTAACACTTCTGATAGATTTAGACTGAACTAAGTATAGAAATAATGCAGATGACACCACCTGTGAGAGATTGAAGAAGAAGACAGTGAAGAGTCTCATGCAGCAGTGATAAGATCAGGAGAAGTTCTGAGAATGATTTAAGATCAGAATGAAGAGAGAAAGAGAGAAGAAGAGTGTTACTGTAAATAAGTAATGATAGAAGAAGATTGAGAGAATGTTAAAGCAGAAGATAAAGAAGTTAAAACTGATAAGTTTTTTATTTATTGAGAGAAAATGATTTTTGATAATACTTCTGTTCTCTAATTAATTAGCAGGAGCTGACAGAGAAGAAGAGGATTGAGACCTTGTTCAGGTCTCAAATGCACTCTATGATTCAGAATATTGAGAAGACAGCCCTGCTCTCTGAGCATGCTAATCTGCTTATCACTGGGATGAAACCTGAGACAGCAGACCAGGAAATGTGGGATTTTGAGATGCAGATTGACCTGGCTGAGAGGGAGCAGCAGAAACCCTTCTCTGAGAAGGCAGTGAAGAGAGATTTTGAGATGATTATCATCTCAGATGAGAAGAAGAAGAAGAAGAAGAAGAATAAGAAGTGAATTATAAAGAATAATAAGAAGAATGAGAAAGAGAAGAAAGATAATGAGTAGAAAAAGTTTTTTTCTTTTTATATTAGTTAGTTATAAGTTCATAATTATTAATAATTGAAATTAATTTTAAGTTTTTAAAAATTATTGTACAAGTTGTAATCAAGTCAGGAACAATATATATATATATATATATATTTAACTATCATGATTCATAAATCACTATAATATATAAGTATCAACATTTTTTCAACATTGATATTCACAATATTAATATATTTTTAATAATATTATCTGATAATATAATTTAGTAACACTCTCTTTCACAATATTAATATATTTCAAGAAATATGACAGAGATTAATCAAGATTGTTTATTTACTTTTATATATTGATAATATTCAATCTGAGTTAGTACTAAAATTATAACTAAG